TATTTCAATCTGTGTCGCAGTTCCAGCAGCAGTGTGCACTTGAGTCAGTTTGAAGTCGGTGCACTTGGATGTCCTCATTATGGACTGGGAACTCTTAACTCCCTTTTTCGCGTACATCGTCCTCTTTATCGGCGTCGGATACACCGTGTGGATCTACTATGTCGCCGTCACACAGCCGCTTCAGTGGCTGACCCCGGTGGACAAGGTGGTGGTCATCAGTGGGTGCGATTCAGGCATCGGCTACCAGCTGGCGAAGCACTTCCACGAGAAGGGCTCGGTTGTCATTGCGACGGTGCTCTCGGTGGACAGTGAAGGTGCGATCAAATTAAGTTCTCAACTAAAAGGAGATCACTTTCACCTGCTGCAGCTGGATCTGAGTAGCAGTGTGAGCATTGCACAGGCGGCGAAGAGTATTGACCAGATTCTGGAGGAGAGAAAACAAAGTAAGATTGCTTGTCACCAAATAGAATAATTTTTAACCGCCTTTTCCCAACATACAGACTTGCATGCCCTGGTGAACAATGCCGGAATATGCGTCTTTAGCGAGTTTGACTTTACCACGACAAAGCAAATTGAAGACCAGATCAACGTCAATCTGCTGGGAACCATCCGACTGACCAGAGAGCTGCTGCCCCTGCTGATCAAGGGCAAAGGTCGAATCGTCAACGTTAGTTCAGTCAATGCGATGCAGGTCTTCCCCGGAACGAGCATCTACGCGGCTACGAAGAAGGCAATCGAGGCCTTTGGGGATGGCCTGCGAATGGAGCTGCAAAAGTTTTCCGTTCAGGTGGTCACCGTACGACTGGGCGACTACGCCAGACTGACGGACATTATGGCGAAGCACGGGGCGGTGGTGGCGGAACAGGTGGCCGAGATGGACGACCTCAAGAAGGTTCGCTACGGCGACTACTTTGATCGCTTTCACCGCTCAGCCCTGGCCAACTACGGGTACTTCAGTCCGCCGAGCTTCCAGCAGTCGTCGCTCTTTGCCGACTTTGAAGAGGCCGTTCTGGCGAACATTCCCCACAGCTACATCGTCAGTGCCACCTGGTCGTACAAGGCACTGCTCTACTTTCTCGTTGCGCTGCCGATCACCTACAGCGACGCGCTGATCCGAAGATTCACCAAGTCGATGATGGAGGAAGGCGGCGAACTTCGTAAGAAAAGAACTTGAGGACTGTTTATTGTGTAATCAGAACTTTATCTAATACTCATGGAAATCTTGTGTTTTCAAATAAAAAATCTTGTTTTTTTGGTCAGCGATCATTTTTGCGGCAAATTCATTTGAAGCTAACTATTTCCACAAAGTGACCAATCTTTTAAAAGTACTGTAACGTTTTTGTGAATGATCCATTGTTTGTTTGGATTTTTTGTTTGGAAGGCTACTCACTCTTTTGTTTTGATCTGTTTCGAATCCAGTTATTTTACAACCAATTCAACCATGGGATGCGATGGCGGAACGATTCCTCGACGAGATGAGCTGGTGAAGACCAAGAAGAAGAAGGAGCAGAAGGATAAAAAGGCCGATATGGTGGCAAAGTGGAAGTACTGCGCCATCTCCTCAAATAAGCTCGTCAAGCCGATTGTCTCCTGTGAACTGGGACGACTGTACAACAAGGACGCCATCATCGAGTTCCTGCTCAACAAGGAGTCGCCCAATGCGTCGATGCTCAATCACATTCGCAACCTGAAGGACATCGTGGCGCTCGTCTTGACGGAGAAACAGGGCTACAAAGAGCAGGACACTGCTGGTGACCAGGAGTCCGATGTGCAGGACTCCCTCTACGTCTGTCCCATTACCAGCCTGGAGATGAACGGTAAGTACAAATTTTACTACATTCGCTCCTGTGGCTGCGTCATGAGCGAGCGAGCCATCAAGGAGGTGAAGACGGAGGCGAAAACCTGTCTTCTCTGCACCAAACCATTTGTCGAGGATGACCTGATTCTGCTGAATGGAAACGACGAAGAGGTGGAAGATCTGCGGAAGAGGATGGTTGAACGACGAAGCAAAGCCAAGGACGAGAAGAAGCGAAAGCGAGGCAAAGCTAGCAGTGACGAGGAGAAGGGTCGCAAGGAGCAAAAGACGACGGTTGACACTCAGGTGCCGTCAACCAGCAAATCGTCGACAGCCAACGGCAGCAGCACCAGCGCCAGCAGCAACGTCAAAGCATCCTCACTCTCAGTACTGCAGAATAAGGCCGCAAAGGATTACTCGGTCAGCAAGGATCCAAACGCCAGTGAAGCCTACAAGTCGCTCTTTACCACACACGAAAGTGCAAAGAACAAAGTAAAAGCGCACTGGGTAACTTTCAACCCCTGCTACAATTGAGACAAATGAACGGCTCAATAAAGCAGTTATGCTTGATCAAATGGACCAGAACTCGAAACTGACGACAACTGCAAACACACGAAAAGGAAAAAACTAGTCTTCTAGTTTAAGTGGCAAACGGGCTAGGAGTTCATCCAAAGCCTTTGTATATATACATTCTCTTTGAGAGCAAATAAAAGGACAAAACTCCATTCGACAATTGAGAACGGAGAAGGTATCACAGCAAAGAAAAGTGGAAATGCTCGGGAAAGGGGTAAAAAAGCATAAAAGGAAAAGAATAAGAGCAAGAGAAAAAGAGGCACAGACCATCACCAACATCATCATCATCATCATTAGTGAATGGTCGCAGTGCAGGGAATCTGATTGGAAGGAGGAGGAGGAGGAGTTGCGTCAGCATTTTCCTCGCCTTCCTTGCCAGTGGTCTCGGCATCAACACGAACTCCCAAAAACTCCTCTTCATTTTCTTCAGGTTTTTTGGTAGGCTGCTGCTGCTGTTGACCCTTGGCTGCTGCTGTTTCTATTTTGGAGGCGACGTCCGCCGAGGAGAGACTGCCGCTGAAACTTCGCTCGGGCGTCGCCAGCGGCGCTCGGCCCTTGCGCACCAGACTGCGCAGCCGGCGGAGGCGGTGTTGGTCCATCAGATTGACACCTCCTCCTCCTTCGCCAGTTTGTGCGGCCGTGAAGCTCGTCTCAATGGCCACCACCCCGGAAGTGGATGCGTCTCCACTGGGCGTCGTACTGCCTGACGCCTGACTGGGCTCCTCCTCTTCTTCCTTCTCTGGCGGTGGCGACTGCTGGGCGGCGGCATCATTTCGCATTGGTTTCCCCGGCCCCGTCGTCGTGAGGAGACTCTGCAGGGCGGCCAGCATCTGGTCGGGCATGTGGTCTTTGATCATGTGCGTCGGCGAGATCAGTATTTCATTGAAGTCCTTGTTGTCCGCCCATAGCGCCTGCATGATCGGCGTCTTAGGGCGAAGTAGCTGCCTGAAAAAAAGAGAAGATAATTAAGCAAATTAAGTTGTTAAGAAGCGATCATGATGAATTACCTCCACTTGGACTCGTTTGCAAAGCTGAATAAATTGTAAATGCGCAATTGTGGTTGTTAAGTGTGCAGAGGCAGTGGCGGTGGTGGTAATTGGCGTTGGAAAAGTAAAGCAACGAGTTAGTTTGTTGTGAGCAAGAGAACAAAGGGGTGAGATGATAGCAAGGGTGATAGCACTGAGTAAGAGAGTAGTACTTACTCTGCCTGGTTGGGATGGTGGCGCACCAGGTGGATGATGCTGCCGGGGAGGAAGAGCGGCGTGTGCACCGTCAGCGAGATCGACTCGTCATTGGGGTGAATGGAGAGCTTCTTGAACTCGTCGAACTGGCGCTCCTTCTCCGCCTCCTCATCAGAGGGACCTACGGGGGGTTGTGGTGGTGCTTGCATGCGAAAGCGACGCACAAACTCCTCCATCGATATGTCACCGCCACCGCCCAGGCAGCAGCTCTTTAGAATCAGACTGAAAAAAAAGTTGTGTTTAGCTTTAAATTCCACCCCAAAATCACCTCCACCAGCACTTACCTCCACTTGGCCATGCCGCAGTTCTTGATGGCGTGAATGAGATCAAAACGCAGCTTCTCCATCTGGTGCAGGCCAATGCGCGGCACCAGGTCCTTCCCATGGACAATGGAGATGACAAAGTCCTTGGAGTACTCGGCGGCAGCCTCGCTCAGCAGCCCGCCCGGCGGCGCAAAGGCAAAGCAGGCGACATTGCTGTAAACCTGCTTGAGGAGAATCGAGAGAATGGCAGCCGTGCCGGCGCCCAGCGAATGGCCCACAATGACAATCGGGTAGGAGGTGCGAGCGGAGGATTGGTCGGCCTTCTTCAGCTCGGCCAGCGCTTTCTCCAGCAGCCGCTTCTTGAAGAGCTTTTCGCGAATGTACTCCGCGGAGGCGACCATTCCCCGGTGGCCGTACCACTGCTCATTCCTCGGCTCCGTGGGCAGCAGCTCGTGCTCTGCATTGAGATCGGTGAGCACGTCGTAGAGGGAGAGGGTGCCGCGGATAGAGACCACCACGGCGGCTTTCTCGTAGTCAACGGCCACGAAGAAGGGCGGCTTCTCCACCGCCACGCGGTACGTCAGGTAGATCAGCTTGTACTGGTGGGAAGCGCAGGTCTGGCGAATGGCCGCCCGGTTGCACAGGCAGCAGTCGTTTCCATTTGAGCGAGTGGCTTTCTTTGCCCTTGCAGAAGATGATGTTGATGCCTCGCCCGATTTGGGCTGAGAGCTGACCACCACATTTTCTCCCTCCTCATTATCATCTTCCAAATCCTCTCCCAGGTCCTCCTCTTCCCCCGAAGAGCCGCCCTCCTGTCCACCGGCAATCCTTCTCGCCCTTCGAGCCAGGCAGCCACAGCCGACGCCGCATCTTACATTGGCACAGCACTTGGTGTGCTTGAGGAGGGCGCACCAGTCTGCGGGCGAATTGGCCACCAGGTACATCGGCCAGCCATAGATGGCCAGGCAGTAGTGCAGGTAGTGAATCAGATTGCCCACCTCCTGCACCACCACAGGGTGGCCCAGGTCGAGGAAGGCCGTCTCGGGGGTGACCGGCACGCCGGACAGATACTGGAAGACCTTCTCCTCGGGGCGGTCTATCTTCTCGCGGCGGTGCGCCTTCTGCTGGACGCGCATCAACGACAGGCCGGCGATGACGTCGCTGGGCACGACGTCCAGGTCGCGAAAGAACTCAGAGAGGAGCTTGGCGATTTCAGCAAAGGAGTTCTAGAAAAGTGGGGAAATCGGTGTTAAAGTTAGAAGACAAGACAAACTTGTCAACACGCACCTCTCTTGGATTCTTCATGTTCAGCACACAGCAGCAATTGCGAAAGCGCTTGTCCCAGGTTTTCTCGTACTTTCGCGCCGCTTCTCGGTTTCGCCAGTTGCGCTGACTGTTCTTCGACCGCCGGTACTTGTACTTGGGGTTCTCCTCCTTCAAGCTCTCATTAAACTTCTTCATTTTTACCCAAGAGCGACCGGCCGAGTCGAAAGTGCACCAGATGACCAGCAGCAGCAGCAGCCAGACGAAAAGGTTGAAGAACTTGAGGATAAAGAGCAGCTCTTTTGCTTCGGGCGAGCACTTCAGCTCACTGAAGTTGTTGTGGTAGTAAAGAATGACTAAGCCGTAGATCTCCCAGATGACTTCGATTATGAAGAAGGCTGAGGGAGAAAAGGGAAAGTTACTCAGTAAACGCAGCTCTTCTAAATTTCAAAGCTCTTCTTACCAAATCGAATGTAGAGGAGTGCATTGAGGGCACTGCGCGCCTTCGTGTTGAGAATCGATCCCTTGAAGCTGACCTTGATGATGCAGCCCTCGAGGATGGCGCAGCCGAGGATGAGCATCAGCTGGCCAAAGAGGTGGTAGGTGAGCTGGTGGGCGCAGTCGACGCGCAGAAAGGGGTGGCCATTCTGGACGGCCACCACACCGTAGATGGCCACCCAGATGGAGTGAGCGAGGAGGAGGATGAAGCCCGGGATGATGAGATCATCGGCGCCGATGATCCACCGGCGATTCGCTATGACTAGGCCGGGCATGCTGATGCCGGCAAGAGGAGAAAGAGGAGAAGGAGGTAATAGTGGTTCGTTGAGTGGAGACCTGGTTAGAACATGGACAACAGAAGGAAGGAACACGTAGCACACGTTGCGCTCGCTGCTCGTCGACAAGAGGAAGAGAGACTCGTACAAGACTGCGACGACGAATGTTAAGTAGTAGTCGATGGAGGAAGAAAATGAAGAGGAAGGAATGAGAGGAGCAAACAAATTAGCAATCGATTGGCAATGCCTCGCCGCCACCACCACCGCAACGGCGTTAGCAGCCCTCGACGAGAGTAATTGAGAGAGTGAGAAAGAGAGAGGCCTCAAACTTTCAAGTGCACACACCGCCGCCGATGACTTACCCGGTGAAATCACCGTGGTTGCGGCTGCATCACCGGTGACGGCGGCGGCTTCGGCGATGGCAGCAGCAGCTCAATTGAACGGTCGAGTGGCGGCGACGAGTGCCACTGCGGTTTGCAGCAGCAGTGCCCTCGTCCACGGTGATCATCCTCCTCATGCTCTCTCCACTGGCACTGGCCGTGATCGATTGACGCTGACACTGGTACAAATGTGTTGGCTGCTGCTGCTGCTGGTGACGACTGCCACCACCACCGATGTGGGCACTTTTATTGCCACTGACTGTTGATGATGATGATGGTGATGGTGGTGGTGGTGATGAGGTTGTTCACTTTCGACGGCGGCCTGCGGACGAGTGGATGAGTGAAGGGAGTGATAGAGAAATGAGAGAGGGAATGAAAGATGAGTGGCGAAATGCATGCGGCAGCTGATTGACAACACCGAAGAAAGAGAAAGAGAAAGAGTGAGACTACTAGTGTACTACTGCCGAACTAGTGTACCAGCGCCAGCAGCAGCAGTAGCACTTTACATGATGTCCTCCTCCGCCTGCAAAGTCAATAGCTGCCATTCACATGCTGTGGCAGTGGCTTCGATTATCGTCGAGAAAGCAGAAGCAGCGCAGTAGTCAGTTGATAAGTAGAACAGAACAGAAGACGTCGGCGATGACGGTGATGCCGATGGTGATGATCGTGCTGCTGGAGCTGGTGCTTCTGGTGCTTCCGAACTGCGGGAGATGCACGGAGTAGTGCGGCGTTCGACCGGTCGCATCAAGGCAGCACATTAAATGGGAGGCAATAATGCACCACCACCACCACCAACATCAGCAGCATCACTCTCTAATAGGCCACTCAAGTGCCTGAACACCGCCACCACCACCATCACCAGCAGCATTAGCATCGCATCGGCACTACTGCTGACTGCGGCGGAATTCGGTGTTTGTCTCTGCCGCTGTGACTCTCATTCTCTCTCTCTCTCATTTCCACTCTCACTTCACTCTCTGTCTTGACTGTCCGACTGAATACTGCGGCGGGAATCACTCTATTCACGCGCTCTCTCTCTCCCTTCAGTTTCGTCTTCTTCTTCTTCCTCGTGGAGCAGTCGCCAAAGTGGCGGAATATAAAAATAGACGCGCTCACAGCGGGACCATTCAGCTGCAGGAGCTCCAGCACGCCACAAAGCGCTGACACTACGAGGACGACCGACTGCCGCGGCGGCAATCGGGGCCGCCGTTGTCTGCTTCACAAATGGACCTTTCCACTTGGGAATGAGAGGATGAGTTGGAAGCAGATCAGAGAGTTGGTCGCACACACTTGAAAAAGGTAAATACTGTCTCCGGTGATTGAAATTTCAACACTTTCCCAAACTCAATTTGTCAAGACGGTTTTGTCGAGAGGTTTCGCCTTTGTAGCGGCACACTTGGTGGTGATGGTGGTGGCAGTTGTAGTAGCAATGGTACCACCGACATCGTAGAAGGTAATAAAAGTTTATATGGTTTTATATTACAAAAGACTTGCTCAATATAACAGTGGCGATGGTAGAGAGGGTGATGAGTTGAAGAAGTGGTTGGTCAAAACAAAATACGTCAAAACTAAAAGCTGCAGCTACTACTACTGAAACTCGTCGTATTCGCTTTCAGCAGTGCTGGTCGTTGTTGTCGTGGTGGTGGTAGAAGTGCCATTGTTCACTGCAGTCGATGATTGAAAAGTGGAGCCAGCAGAGACTGGTGCCGTTGAGGTGGAGTTGGTGGTGGAGGAGGTGGTCGGTGCATTGGCTTTACCACCACCGCTACCTCCCTTCTGATCGATGATCTGGTACTTTTTTATGTTCAGCATCACCTTCGACAGGTTGGTCTGCTTTTTCACAACTGTTGTTTGTGGGAAATAACCAAGAAAAAAAGTAAAATTACAATCACAGTAAACAGGCAGCCACCCAGTGTAAACAAACCTTGTGTCCTCTTTGCGGTGACTCGATTGCCACTGCTGTTGCTGGAGGTGCCGGTGGAAAATGAGGGCAACTCCTCGTCGTCAAACTCAGTATCAAAGTCAAACTTTGACTTGGTTTGTGCGCCTCCCGCCTGGTTGTTGCCTTCTTCCGCGTTCTCGAACTGCCCGTCAGTGGTCTCCGTCTGCAGCTGTGAGGGTGATATCCGCCCGGGACACTGCCACTGCAGTCGGTTGAAGCCCACCGTCTCCATCTCACCGTACAGTCGGGCGATCTCCTCACCACTCGGCTCCCAGATCCGCCCTCCGCCGGCGGGCAGCTGTCGGTAGTTGATGGCGCTATCAAAGTAGCCCTCCTCGTCACTGCACTCCACCGACCAGTTCGACGGCTGTTGCTGATCCTCGAGGGACATGCTCTCTCTTTCTCTTCTTCTTCCGGCACAGCTTAACACCTAAAGTCTTTGCCGTCTTTTTAGCATTTTTGCAGGCAGTCTTAGAGGGGTGATGCAGATGATGAAGGCGATGATTGGATGATCCTCGTCGCTGGATTCTTTATTGTTGTTGATGAAATGCGCTCTCTTTCCCTCAACGAGAGAGTTCAACCACCGAGGGCAGTCCGCGCCACCGCCGCTCTACCTTCGCTGTACTTCGGCGTACTCTGTGAATGGGCTGCCCCTGTGGGCTGGCACAAATTGTTTATCATCGTCGTCTCAAGAGGAGGAAGAAGCTTCAAAAAGACTCAGCTCAGATTTTCGGAAGATAATTACACCTTGAAAATTACCATTATTTGGCGGTAATTCTTCTCGTATCACCATCACCCTCATCATACTCTTCTGAAGCAGCTTTGTACATCTGTGTACCCAAAGAAAAGGCACACTCATCACTGCAAATATGGAACGTAATCTGTTCTTCTTTGTCTTTCTCCTCTTTGTCGTCCTCACGGCGCGAGACTTTCTCGTCAAGTGGAACCAGTCAATGGAGCAGGCAAGTGCTGGAGCCGGTGGAGCCGGCGTCCACGCTGCCGATAATGTGGTAGGCGGTGGTGGTGGTGTTGGTGCCGGCGGTGGCAACGTCCAGAAGGAGATTCCCTCGCTGTCCTTTGGAGCAGGCGGTGTCGCCCACCACGCCGGCGGACCAACGGTCAAAGTGCTTTACTGCTTCAGCTGCGGCTATCGACAGGCATTTGAGGAGTACCAGCGGATGATCAACGAACGATTCCCGCACATCAACGTCGTGGGCGCCAACTACGAGTCCAGCTTCCTCAAGAGCAAGCTGGTGCAGGTGATCAGCATCGGCAAGATGGTCGTCATTGGCCTGCTACTCGCCAACATCAACCCCTTCTCCTACTACGGCATCAACACGCCCAACGCCTGGCGATGGATGACGGAGCACAAGGTATGAAGAATGCGCTTCAACTGGCAATCAATACATACTAATTGACCTAATTATTCTCCATAGCTATACGCCTGCATGATGACCTTCTTCCTCTCCAACACCATCGAAAGTCAGCTGCTCGCAAGCGGAGCCTTTGAGATCTTCTTCAATGGTAAGGCTTTGTGTTTGCCTCAAACACACACACTCTCTCCCCACTAATGACGTTCCCATTAATTCCCCATTAATTCCTCCTCCGACAGATGTTCCCATCTGGTCAAAGCTGGCGACTGGCCGCATTCCAAATGCTCAAGAGCTGTTCACGATGATCGACAACCAGAACAAGTTTTATGGCAACGATCTTTACGGCGAGTCGATGCACACCATTCCTGGTCACCCTGCACTGTAGTCAGTCGTGGCGTTTGTGCCCATCACCACAAACACCTCACACTCATTCCTCTCGCTTTCAGCATTCGCTATCCTCAATCCGCTCTAGTTTTGTAGTATATACAACACACACACAGTTTGCCTCAAACTTATGTTTTTCAAAATATTTGTTTTATCTCTTTTCTACGTTCTATTTGCAATATTTGTAATAAAAAAGGTTCTTCGTTGTACAATTTGCCAAATACTGTATCTATCCAACTTCCCTAAAAATGATTTTCCTTAACGCACTTTGTTTCTATAAATTAAATCGTTTAAGATATAGAGAAACGGTTTTCACTCAAATATCAAGCTAAATGGCAATTCGGAAAACCAGCTAGACAAGTCTAAAATGTGTAGCAGCTTAAACCTTGTTGTGTTTTTAAAAATGAGTTTAAAAACTGTTTGCAATTTGCTATTTTTATCAACAACTACAATAGTGTACCGTCTTTGAAACGCAGCTAAACTAATCAATAACCGAAAGCATTTAATAAAGCCAACTTTTTGTTTTTTAACAGTCCTTAATGAGCGCAGTGTGCTGAGAAGGCAAAGTTAATTCTTTTTTTAAAAAAGGAAACGAGTAGTTTAGGATCGCGAAACGACGCTAACATCCTTGTATTATAAATACTGATTAAATTTAAGTTTAAAACGACAGGAGAATGTGTGAAATAAATTAATTATTTTGGCGTTAAAAGCTTAAAGAAGAGGTTGGCATCATGGCGAGAGATTTACAAGCAGACGTGGCCTTGAAGGAAAAGGTTTCAAACTTTTCGTAACAAAGCTAGGTCACCAGCCAATGGCAGGCTGCCACGCCAGCTTTGCGGCCGCTACTTACATTGTTAAAACTTGTCTCATCTTTTCGAACATTTGGGTCCTCTATAAAAACGGCCATCCCATCTAGTCTTTTGCTCACAATTCACCCCTCTCCCTAGTGAGCCCTTCGACACCCCCCTCCCCTCCCCCAGCCCACAGCAACCCAGCCGGGCTGACGTGGTCAGCCTTAAGCCACGTCATCCCGTACCCTAAGGCTGATTCACTTTAGCAAGCTGATGGCACAGCCTGTCTGCTGGCCTCTACGATCCACTCTCAACTTTCTCCATCCTCCTGTCCTCCGGTTAGGGGTAGGAACAAGAGCCGTCCACCCTCACAAGCTGATTGACTATATGGCTAACTTCATGCGTGTGTACTACGACCTCGAAGCGGACGGAAATGACTTTAGTGAGCAACGCCAAGCCCAAGACGACCTTCTCTGAGACAACTTAGCGTTTATCATTCCGCTACTTTGTCAACTGATTATTCGCATTTATACTGAAGAAGTAAGTGTGCCTTGTGGGGTTAACCTTAACTCAAACTTTTTGTTTTGTATTTTTTTCTAGCCAATGATTGTGACTGGCATTGAGCCGGACGTTATCATTTTTGGTGACATTCATGGCAACTTCAATGACATTCATTTCATTTACGACAAATTCATTTCAAACCCCAAGTACGCCACTACCAAATTCATTTTCCTCGGCGATTACGTCGATAGAGGCCCGAAGCCTGTCGAAGTGGTGTGCTTTCTTTTTGCACTTAAACTCTCTGACCCAAAACGATTTTATCTACTCAGAGGCAACCACGGTGAGTACAGTTAAAAAATCTTTTTGATTAAATTTAATTGACCTAATTTACATACAGAGGTGCTTAAAATTAATCGAAAATATGGTTTCCAACACATGTGCCTCTACCTTTTTGGTGATACGTACATCAAGCATCAAACATTTGCCGTCCTTAACTACAAGTTGTTTAACAAAGCGTTTTGCTTTATGCCTGTTGGTGCTGTCATCCAAGGAACGGGTAAATGCAACGAAAAGCAGAAAATTTTCTGCTGTCATGGTGGCGTGCCTTCGTACTACAAAACCGACACGCTTCAAAGACAGATTGACATTTTGTCAAAACCTGAAAACCTGCACAACTACGATGGCATCATAAGTGTAGAAGAAATGCCAGTCGGTTGGTCGATTGACCACTTGAACAATGGTTTGAAAAAACCAATTTCCTTGTATGGAAACCCAAAATGTTTTCCATTAGAACGAGTCTTCTCCGAAATCCTATGGAACGACCCGGCTCCCGCTGTGTTGAGGCGTCGCACACGACCCCCATACGGAAATCGCAAGTTTTATGTGAACAAAGGGCGTGGTGGACACTGTTCGTATTTCACTGAAGCCGGTCTAAAGGCCTTCCTTGAGCTCAATGGGCTAAAAATGGTGATCAGAGGTCATCAATTTGATGTCACCGAGCGCAATGGAACACATTTTGCCTTTGGTAATTCACTTCTCACTGTTTTCAGTAGTAGCAACTACTGCGGTGATAAGAAAAACAACACTGGCTACGTTCAAGTCCAAGGTTCGACGTGTCAAGTCTCAACAGGAGTTCTGAGGACGGCGCAAGATGCCGAGCAGTTCAGAGCGTTCAACAGTCTGGCAATTATAAATGAGCACGCTGCTGGCGCCTATTTCTAAATAGCAAGCACCATTCGCAAATCGGCAGTTTAGCAAACAAGTAGCAGCAACAACTCGAAGTTATTTTATTTTTAATTTGCAGCAACTTTTATCGTGTTATTACTCTACCGAATTATTGATTTAGTTTAAAAATTGTTATTTTCAATTTGTGAATAAATGTTGAAACACATTCAGCTTCTCACCTCAGCTTTCTGGACACGTGCATTCACAAACTGACGCTTGCTGAGCTGAACTCCTGAAGTCATTCAGTTGTGCCTTCTGAATCAAAGCAAAACAATATTTGTATAGGGTTGATGGTAGCAGAGATGAACACACTCCCACTTTTGTCTCAATCAAACTTTTTCAAATATTCACCTGATTACTGATGGAAGCTTTACTTTCATCGTTTATTTCTGCAAAAAAAGTTGACACTCTTTTACTCTTGTGCTTGAACTGCTCACAATCCTCGTTTTTGATAGTAGAAGAGCTCGAGACGATAAAGAACCGACTTTGGTCGCCACTGCTCAAGCGTGAGAACGTGCACTTTAGCGGAAAAAATGTTTACTTAATTAATTAATACGCAAAAAAGAGTGAATGATAATGAAAATAATGATGAAGAAGTTTCGGTCTTCTTTAAAAGTACAAGGCAAGTAGGTTAAAAAAGTCTGAGGTAATTTCCTGAATAGTGTAGTAGGGCTTTAGTTCCGATTCCAACTTGATGGTCGGCTCCAACAGGAGGATCCCCTTACAAATCAGAGCAATAAAGGTGATGAGAACAAAATACATACACTTCTTTCGGTCTAAGGGCACTTTTTCCTTGTTTTCATTGTTGCTCTTTTCTTCTGAAGGCGCTTTGTCATTTTCGTTGTTGCTCTTTTCCTCTGAAGGTACATTAAAGGTTGTGTGAATGACCAGATTCTCATATGATAAGTCTAGATTTCCAGCTTTCATTATAACTGAAGGCATTTCTTGATTTTCAATGCTCAGTTCATCGGCCAGAGTTGGGATTGGAGTGGAAGGAGACGGGCTTGAGGTATGACTGCAATTTGTGGAGACCATTTGATCACGGTACGAGATAATGTCCTTCAAGTCAACAATCACCTTATTGAGCCGACTGACTTCTTCTTTCAATTTGAAAATTTCTTCTAATGATTCATTGTACTTTGTGATAAACTCCTTCAGAACATCGCAGTCCGGCACGTCGCCCTCCTTTTTCGGCTCAACAGCTTTAGTTTCAACTGTACAGCTACTCACCTGCTGCTAGAGGAAAGATAAAATGCAGTGTAACTACTACAAGATGGTAAAAACAGATTAATTTTACATACTATGTTATTAGCAGAATCGCTGCTGTAGCTAATGGTGCCATGAAGTTCACTAACTGAAGAAGTGGTCTCATTTGCCGAAGTGTCCGTATGGTAGAAACTTTCAAGTTCGCATTTGAGAGAGTTAACCGTTTTATTAAGAATCTCCAGTTTTTCATCCTTCTTTCGGAGTTGCACTTTATATTCATTTAGACTTTTTGACAACTCACTGTGCTCCTCTGCAATTGTGTCAATGTGCTGGCGATGATAATTCAGATCAGTTTCCAGGCGTTTTATTTTCTTCCGACTATCTTCAAGCTCATTAATAAGTTCTTCTTCAATGAGATCTCTACTTTTCAAGTTAGTTGCATCATTGTTTGTGATGTCATCATTGATGTTGCTGTACAGTTCACACGCGGCGGTAGAGAAGGCGAAGTCATCAATAAAAGTGGAAGATAAAAAAGTGGGAGCTTCAGAAGTGTCTTCAAACTTTGTGGTAGAGCAGTAGGCCATCATACTTTCCATGATGTGGATCACGGCTTTTTCAAAAAAGAGAGAGGTGAAGAAATGAAAAGGTTAGATTGCGCTCTTTTGAAAACAATAAAACCTGTGATTTCCCGTGTGTGTGTGTGTTTTCAAAAATTTATCGAATTTGGCAAAATAGAAAAACAAAGAAGGTGGAAATGGGCGCAGCCTTGTTGATAATCTTTTTATCAAACTGAGCAAAAATGTTGCACCTGAATATGATTTCTTCTGTTTTCTCTCTCCATTTTGACAATGACGAGCTGTAAACAACTTCAGGTACACTTGAACTGTTTCCCCCATTTTTGCATCATCATTTCCTAATTGACTTGTCAAGTTTTCTTTCCTAGTTTAAAGTTTTAAACAAAAACAAAAGAGGTCTTTCTTAATTGTCGCCCCACTGAATGTCACCTGCAGGTAGGTTAGATTGCTTTTTTCCTCAATAATGAGAATCATTAGGAAACAGAGTGAAACTTTTCAATTCGAGCAAAGTTATGCGGCCAGTAATTAGGCAATTAGCCAAAGTATCCAAATATTAAGGTGGTGATCTCACTAGCAAACCCAATAACCAAATGACCCGCTGTTCTCACTGTGACCCATTTGAAAAGTGCAATAACGGAGAATTGCCCCCAAAAACAATTGTTTTAGCTGGACTAGACTGGCTTCCATCAACGGTGGTTCTCTCGTTCATCCGACACAGCACATCAGAACTTCTCGGCAGGACATTTGACGCTGATCTTGCGATGCTCGTCAGTGACCCGAACCAACAGTCTACTGAAAGAAGGCTGACAGAGCTGACTCTACTGAAGTCACCATGACGCTGGTGGCCACCACACAATCTTTCTTGTCAATTGAACTGTTCTATTTCGGCAATCAGAAAAGGAAGGCTTAAGAATGGAATGAAATTAGATGCAGTGAATGTCAGTGGGAGATGTCGAATGTTTGATCACTGGCAGTCACTGGTTTGCATCAATAATTGAGTGACACACCGAACTGAACTGAACTGAAGCCCTGCTCTAGTTGATGTCAACTGTGCCGACTGCACATCACTCACTCACTCGCTTTGCCACAACTTTTAACAACTGATTAATTAGACTGATTAATTAATTAAATTGAGAGAGAGGGAGGAGGTAGAGGTAATCTCTTTTGAATGCAGTACTCACTGAATAATTTACCACCACCATCTTAGAGCATCGCCGCATTTCACCAGAACACTGAAGGACACCGAAAGGCAACCAACCAGTTCGATTGATCGCAGCACACCAGATTTGACGTGTCCAGCCAATTGAAGTACAGTGTCTGGCACTGCATCGTTTCTTTGGGAAAAAAGTGTCTGGCAGTGCCCATCAAACGGAATTTCGAACAGTGAATGGATGAAGATTGGCCTCTCCACTGTGTGACGTTGATGTGGTGGTGCATCGGGCTGACCGAAATAGCATCGTTTAAAGCACTGATTGGTCAGCACTGTTCAGCATCACCCATCCAAAATTGCCTGCCATTTCTTCCCTCCCTTGAACTGTCTTTAATTTGAAAGACCGAACACACTGAACAAGCTGAACTGTGCACTCATTCAGTGCAATTAATAAGGAGGAGGAAGAAGGAGCTTTTTGCCATTTTAGAAGACTGAAGTGTGTGTGTGTGTTCCAGAAGAGGAGGGGAAGGGAACAAAAAGTCATTTGCTTGTTAAAGCAATTTCACTCTCTCTTTCTTCTCAGTCAGCCTTTGTACAAGTGTGTGATTTGCCTCTATAAAAAGGCAGCAGCAGCATCATCTTATGTTGTGTAGTGCACAGTGCACTTCAAATGGCAATTGTGCTAACCAAGCATCGTCGTCGGTCTCTTCGGTCTCACTGTCAAATTGAACATTAAACGGCGGTGCACAGTTTTAGTTGCTGGTGGTGGTGGTGGTGGTTTGCAGAAGACAAGATGTTAGGTTGAGAGAGATAGACAATGCAAAGTGGCCAACTGCCACCGAGGAACCACACTATCTTGGTAAACAGCAACTTCGTCGACTTCAACTTTGACTTCCTCAGACAGATCCTCTCTGTACTTTTCCTCGGGTGGAAAGACTGCTTGCACGCTATATACGCTCTTTCCCCTTCTCACACACACCTTCCAAATGTCAACTGTTTGGTGTTTTCCCTGATCTTCTCCTCACGCCCGAATCCGCCTCTGCTGACGTCTGCTGTGGCGTTGTGACTGTGTCTGGTCCGGAAACCTTCTGTCTCTCCGAAGACGCAACACAGTGTCACACAGTCTGTTTCAGCTTCAATCTAGGGCAGTGTCTCCTTCTGTGTCTTCTCTTTCTCTCTTTCTCTCTGTTCTGTGTCTCATCGCCTCGAGAAGACGTGGTGGTGTCTCCCTTCTCCGGCCCACTGTATAAATTGCAGAGGACCACATTCAGGCGGGCTCTGTCAGTCACACAGCAAAGTGCAGTGAGGATGATAATGATGATGATGAGCATCACCAGCACTACATCGTTTTAGGACAACTTTAACCACTTTTCAATTTCCCTGCTGCTGCTCCTGCTGCCTTACACTTTTATTCTTTCAGTGCAGCTAATTAACTTTTGAGCAGTGAAGCTCAAAGCTGTTGCAGCAGCTTTCAGTGCTACAACTTTAAAGTTTCAAGTTTTCAACAGTACTTCTTTTGTTTTACAACAAAAGCATTTTTTATATATCAATTCACGTTTTCTCTTTGCTTTCAAATCAGCTAATTTGCTGCTCACGAGTAGGTGATAAGGGAGCTTGTTACTCTTCAGCTTTAATTCTTCGTTGTCTGCCTGGTTTTTGAGTGTCAAATTGATTTGTTTGCCTGTCTGTTCTTTTCTCATTTTGTCTTTAGCATCAAAGATGTATAGCTACAGTATGTTGCTTCTGACTGCAAGTCTACTTCTGCTGACGGGAACCAACTTCACCATCAGCGGCGCCGAGCCGTTGTTGTCCTCCTCCTCCTCATCAGCCGATGCTCTGGAGAGCTCTGGCTCTGGCGCCTTTGATGCATCTACCAGAGATGACAGCAGTCAGCGATTTAGCTCGGCTGCTTTAGAGAATGCTGCTGACGGCGGCGGGGGCGGACGTGCTCTGGAGGTGGCACGTCGATCGGCATCATTTCAACATCCTCAATGGCAATCAGCATCAGCATCAGTGCATCGTCAGCATCAGCATCCTCATCAGCAGCAACAGCTGCCGACACTAGAGCTGCGACCAGTCTTTTTGAGCGAGCACTTCATCAGGCAAATGTCGCCCTCCTCCTCCTCGTCTTCTTCCTCCTCCTACGGCACTGGTGGTGGTGGTGGACAACGAGCACCGCAGTACTTCTTTAAGCCCATCCCCAGGGAGCTGGTGCCGCTCTCCGGTCCGTTCCTGTCTCGAGGTAATAATACTAAGGTCTTCTACTTCTGTTGTTTCACTGTTGTCACAACTTTTTGAAGAGCGACAAACTTTCTCTCACTTCTCAGACTTGACATTAGGCTAATTAGATTAGGGTAGATGTCGAATAAGAGGAGACAATTGAGTCGAGCTGAGTTGAGGCAACATCGAGCACATCGAAAAAGCGAAGACATCAGCAGTACATTGAGTACTGGGACATTCAGCCAGCCAACTTAAACAGTCTTAATTATTCATTCTCTATGAACTCTATTGTACTCTCTGTGTCCACTCGTTTGCAAGTCCATCCGGCACGATCACTGCTCTTGCTCTTGCTGCTGATGCTGCTTCCGAGGATGAGTGCTCATCTATTATTCAGCGTGGCAGCAGTGATCGTGTTGTTTGCCAATTTGCCAATTGCTCGATTGTTTTGCTCAGCTAGACAGAACTGGGTCTAATTGGAAGATAGAAAGAATGCTCAATGCAAAGTCATCATAATAGTGGAAAGTCACTTATTACCATGTTATCACCATGTTTCCCCTTTAACTAATTACGCCCATTCACCATTCTCCTCCTCCTTTTCCTTCTCAATGAGCAGGTGATGAAACGCTGCGAGCTCGTCGCTACACCTACCCCACGGCCAGTCAGAGTTTCCTCCGCTTCGGCCGTCGCTACCTGTACAAGAGACCGAAGGAGACCAAGGACACGGCCTTTCTGCGATTCGGTCGCAGTGGCAGTCAGACAGGGGCAGTCTCCGATGCAGACCAGGACGACCAGGACCAGCAGGCAGCAGGGCAGCAGCAGCCATTGGAGCAGACCGGTAATCAGCTTCCTCCTGCTCAGCTTTTGCCAGCTTCAGTGTCAGAAGTCTAAAAAATCAACTACAAATCTACAAGACCGGCAGCCCTTTCAGCCATCTAATATCATCATCACCACCACCTTCACCGTTTCCGGGCAGTTTGCAGCATCAGCAGCAGCACTTCAACTCTTTCCCAGCCACCAACACGTCTATCCAGTGCACCCTATCCTTTCTCTCACTCTTTTCCCATCTAAACACCGTACAACTTTTTCCTTTCTTTTGTTTTTCAATCCTCCTTGTTTTTCTTCAATTACCCACTCACTCACTCACTCACCCCTATCAGAAATGCACCGAAAAATTGCGCCAGATGATTGTGTAATGCATTTTATATAATGAGAATTGGTTTAAAAAAGTAGACACAAAAAATAATTAGCGGGGCGACGAAAAAGAAATGCATGTACAACTTCTTCTGGTGTTTGGTGTGCTGGGTGCGCGTGTCCGTCGTCTGTCAATCATTAACAGGTAAACAAGAATAATTACAAGAAAAGGGTGCAGAAGGACGGGGGATGAGGAGGGAGAAGAAGGCTGAAGGTGACAAGGGGAAAAGCAAAACACCTAAGAAACAATGTTACAATGTTACAAATGACATGCAATGATTTTAAGTTGATTGGATGATGGTGGTGGTGGTGGTCGTGAATAAGATTGAGACTTTGTCTGCTTTCCCCTCCCAGGCGATGAAGGTGTTGAAGGTATTGAAGGTGTTGAAGGTTTTTGACACGCACACACACTGCAACTGACTTTTCCCACTGATCACGCGAGCCGCCAACTACGACGACAGTTTCAAATGTTCAGTTGCGTGGCTTCTTGTGCAGTTGCCTGGTGCGGTAGATGTCAAACTGCGGCGGCAGCAGATTGCCCTCGCCGTCGCCCTCCTCCTCCTCGTCCAGCTGGCGTTTCATGCTGAGGCCGCCCATGTTACCACCACTGACTCCACCGCCACCGACACCGCCACCACCACCGGCGCCCATTGCGCCCGGCAGCTGAATGGCCTCAGAGGCGTCGACCGCCAGCGAAAAGTAGGGCCGGGCCTCACTGGGCTGCAGCGGCTCAAAGATGCGACTGGAGGAGATGATGCCCGAGACGGCGCTGTCCGCCAGCTGAATCACCGCACTGCTCTTGAAGAGGCCCAGCAGCTCGTCCACCTGCACAAAGGGGCCGCGGAAGGAGGTGGGCGGCGGCAGGAGAGAGAGGGCGGTCACCACCGCCGGGGGGTAGGGGAAGATGCCGCCGGGCATGATGTTCGCCACTGTTGAGTGAACAAAAAGAAAAAAGAAAAGAGAGAGATGACGTCAAAGATTAGCGGGTGTTGTGATTTAAGCAGGCAGGCGAAAAGCATTCGACGCCGACGACATTAAAAAAGGGGAGCACCATCGCATTCCACAAATGTGTGCAAGTGCCGCAAAATTAAAAGTTCAATATTGAAGACTGAGAAAAGGCCTACCTGGGCTCTGCACGGGCTTGAAGGGCACCATCTGAGTGAGGTTGGGAAGGAAGACGCGTGCCTTGGGCGCGGCGGGCGGACATTCCAGGCTGCTGGCGGCTCCGAGGGCGCCGTTGCCAGCGCCGGATGCGCCGCCAGTGGCATTCTTGCCAGCACTGCCAGCACCGCCGCCGCCGCCGCTTCCACCGCTGCCGCTATTGATATGGCTTCCCCTGCCGCCGCCGCTGCCCTCCACCACGTAGCCAATTGACTTCAGCTCCTCTGCGCTGCACGGCATTAGACTGCCAAATTTGTAGCGATCGACGATCCACGAGGTCTCCGAGGCGGCCCGCTGCAGCTTGTCAATCACCGCCGAGCGCCGCTTCTCCACCTTGATCACGCTTGGCAGGTCGCCGATTTGCGATTCAAATTCGAGGAATTTATTCCATATTTCGCTGTTTGGTGTGTTTGTAAAAGTAAAGAAAAAATAAATATTAGATTTAAAATTGGCAATGAAATGAATGCTTTGTTAGAGCACGCTCTCACACTTACAGCGACTTGTCCAGTGGCAGGGCATCGGAGGAGAGGACCCGCTCAAAGAGCACTCGAATGTTGTTCTCCTCGTTGAGGTGACTGAGAAAATCAATGTAGGAGAGAATGTAGTTCGACTCGTGGGGAAACTTCTTCAGGCCAAGCTCGAAAATCTTGCAGGCAATGTTGATGTCCTAAACGTGGAGGGGGTGGAGCATGCAATAAAAAAAGTGATAGGTTGTAGCAATCGGTTTTTATTTTTTTCCGTTTGTAAAAAATAAAAAAGTTTCCCTACTTTACTACAGTAGTACTCCATGAGGGCTGCCGAAGAGTAGATCTCGTAGTTGCAGCGCGGATCCTCTCGCGCCCTCTTGAAGATACCTCTCGCCGAGGTGATGCTCTCCGTCCGCCTGGAGAACTTCATGTACTGAATGTAAATCAAGGTCGGATCAAAGCCTTCCGTCTTTATCTTCACTAGCTTCTCGTATATCTTCATTGCCTCCTCCTTCCGGTTACGAGACTGCAGAGGGGAAAAAGAGAGGGAAAAAAGTAAATACTCAAACTAAACAACAAAACAAATTAGGCAGACAATGCTGGTGGGCACTTGAGACAACAAAAGACAACAGGAAAAAAGCTTAATAATAACATTACCTCTTCAAAGTCTGCAAAGGAGAAGTGGAGCAGGACGTTCTCCTTGAGCAGCGTGGAGGTGGCCCTCTCGTAGAGCGAGGCGACGTCCTCTTGCAGCGCCTTGTGGTGGTTCATGTCGCCCTTCTCCGCCATCAGCTTGCTGTTCTCCTCCAGGTAGGACGCGTACTCGTACCAGATGTCGGGATGGTGGCCCAGACAGAGGAGGCACTGCTCGTAGGCGAAAACCACTAAGAAGACAAGGGGTAATTAGAAAGTTAGGAGGAATTGTGGGTAGGTTATTTTTAGTATTTTAAGTAGTAGTACCTCGCTTGATGACCAGAGTGGAGTCCTCGCTCTTCAGCGGATTTCCCTTCTCCCAGGAGATGTACCGCTTCCAGAGGTCCACCTGGCGAACTTCCTCCGCTGAAGAGGTGGGCGGCGTGGCGGGTGCATTTCGGTTCAGTCCACGGGTGATCACCTCAAACTCCTTGGCCACCCGCCGGGCGTTCATGTAGTCTTTGGAGCGGTCTGAAATGGCCTTCTCGACAAACATTTGGTTGATGCTCTAGAAAGTGATTTGATAACGACGCCATATTTAATAATATTGTAATTGGTAATGAGTAAAGCTCTGATAAGAGTAAAGAATGGCTATCATTTCTACCTGCTCGTAATTGAGGTAGTCTTTCCAGAATGATTCAATATTCGCCATGGGAATGAGGATGCCACGCTGGTAGACGCGTCGCACGGCGGAGATTTTCTGGTTCTCGGCGTAGTTTCCCTGCGCATCGACACCCTTCAGGAATTGGACATAGTCGTTGTATATGGAATAGGAGCTGATGTCGATTCCCATCTTGTCGAGTGCAAAGTCAAACGCCTGACCCATTTTCTCGCGAAATGACTGCAAGTTGGTCTTTGCTTCCTGTAAGAGAATCAGAAGTTATAAAACATTTTGATTCGTTAACTTGTAACTTACCTTGATATAACTTAGGTAACATTTCCACAGTTCAATGTTGAGCACCTTGACGAGGCACCTTTGAAAAAGCTGAAAAGGGGGTGAAATACTTTTAGTCTTGTTGTGGTCGTGGGAATGGTCAATATTTACCTTTTCAACTTTTTCATAATTTTTATATTTAATCTGCAAAGGAAAACAACAAAAATAACTATTTGTTTACTCGGTGTTATGCAGCCACAGCCATACCTCTTGTTCAATGTATAGCTTCCAATACCGTCCACATGTTGGAAACTGAGTGACCAGCTGTTCGTAAAGCTCACGAGAAACGTCAACATGCTTTGCCTAGAAAGTTATCAATAAAAGTCCATTAGATAAAATAAACCGATTAGCTTACAAAAAATACCTGTGCATCTTTTACTAAGACATTCCATGCCTCCAAATCATATGGTGCCTCGCAAAGTTTTACTCTTGCTTTCAACACTCGGTCGCTGACGTTTTTAAAGAATCCAGGAACTGGAAGAGGCGGCAATGGGGCTTCTGAATCTCTGTCTAGTGAATCTTGCTTAATGTTAGCGTTGATGTGAGGATCACCCTTCATTGGTAGATTGTTATTATTTGACAAAACATGTTGGCTTGTTGTCTGTCAAACAAACAAAAGTTACATCAACAAATAAGAGAAAGAAGGCAGCCTCACTTACCGCAATCATGTTGATGCCCGGTGAAAAGTAAAGAGGAGGATCCGGCTTGGTCCCAGAATTTTGCTTCCTCACTGGCAACTGCCACCGACAGGACGGATAGAATCCTTTAGATTTGTTTCAAAGATATAAAATCAGGAATCTCTGCTGTGTTTTGTTTGTGATTCAGAAAAAAATTGGTCAGAAATAGAAACTGGCCGGCGAGTTGCATGCTGCTGCTGTGCAAATAGACGATCTCATCTGGCATTTATTTTTTTGGCAAAACTTGTTGCGCCATCAGAGGGAGAGAAAGAGTTGACGGAGAGAGAGGAATTCTTTCAGGGGATTCCCCAATGTGGCACTCTCGTGGACTCTCGGGACCAGGCGGAAGTGTCGAAGACCACGACGGCCAGTGGACGGCCAATACTCTCAGCGGTCATCACCACTATCACCATCACCTTCTCCTGAGCAGCTCACCTGGTCAGTGGCGGCAGCTGTCTCTGGCCATCTGTCACCATGAATTAGAACAAAGGCAGCGTCTTGGTAGTGGACAAGGATCCAATTTATTGCTAAACGACCTTTGCCGATGGCCTGAATACTCTCGCCTTTTGCAGCATCACCATTGCCCCTTTCATCACCACCACCACCACCACTGTCCACCACTAGGCAATCGATCTTGGCCACATAGAGGGCAAATCAATAATTCTAATCAGCTTCATCATCATCAATTTTATCTAAACATTCCACCGTCATCTATTGAAGGTATGTGAACTTTACAGGTATTTAGCATTCTTCTCCCGTCTCCTGTTTCCCAGTCCCTTCATTTTTCCCCTCCATCCTCGGCTATTAATGCGCAATTTATTATGGATGCCTTATTATCGGCAATCACCAGCTTGTAATTAGAATAACTCCCGTTCAGGAAGGAGGAGGTGGATCTGGTGGCTGTTGTGCAAATTGAAACTGACAATAAGCGCGCACACAGACACACACACACACACACATTAACTGTATGTTCACCTGCTTGAATCCGTGAGACAATCAGTCTCTCTTCTTTTCTTTCCTTCCGCGACAATAGGTCAGAGAGTAGAGGGGACGTCGGTCAAAGGGAGAGAGAGATTGCACTATCATGGCGAATGATCATTATCACCGACGTAACCGGTTTTCTCTGGCGCTGATATTCGTTCTTCTTTCTTCTCCACTCTTGAGCCTTCGATTACTGTCCCGTCATTCTGCGACTGCTTCTGCTGTTCTGTTCTGTTTACCTGTTGAAGCAGCAGCAGCAGCAGTCTCGCTTTTTCTGCCCTCGTCGTTGTCTACTGCCTGACTTGTGTCCTCTCTGTCCTGCTTCTTCGCCTTTCTTCTGCTCCTTCCTGCATTCTCTCAGGCGCCACAACTGTCTGCGTCTTTTCCTCCCTCCCTCCTGCACCAGTCACCTCACCAGGCTTCATACTTTGTCTCTCGCCAAGGCGGCTAATTGCGCTGCGGCGCCTCACGGCCAGCAGCGCCAGCCCCGTTTGTTCACCGTTTGTTTGGCGCCAGGTAACCCTTTTTTCAGCCCATTCATCGCCGCTCGATTCAATGCTCTTCGCGATGGCGTCTCCTCGTCACCACCGCCGCCATCATCATGATCATCATCAGCGATGGTGGTGCGCAGTCACTGGCGTTTTATTTCTGTCAATAGTTAGTTGAGACCCACAGTGGAGTGTGTGTGAGGGAGTAAGTGAGTGAGCGAGTGAGTGTGAGTCACCAGAGGAGCAATCGTCGAAGACATCTACTGCGTGCGAAGTGCGAAACGGTCTCTGGTTACATTGCCATCTACTGCAGCCGAAGCAGCAGCTGCAATGGCCATTTGTCAGAGGAGCCGCCGCCGCCATGCCGCAAACACCACTTCACTTTGCCGTATCTACTGTTTGTTCGCTGAACTCACTTACACTCACTCACTCACACAGACATCACTCAAGTGAATGCCCAATCAGATGAAGATGCTAATGAAGCTGCCTACTGACTAACTAACTCTAACTAACCACCACCACCACCACCACCAGCTACTAACTAACTGCTAAATAATTTGAAGAGCAGCAATTTCAATTAGCTCACACCCGGAGATTGGCTTGCCTGATGCCGCTCACCACCACTCTCACTTGCTCTTGCTGGTGCCGTTGTTGCTTCTCTTCTTTCTTTTTCCTTTCTTCTTTTTCTTCTTCATCTTCATCGTCGCTCCCGGCGCGAGCATCAACTAATCGAGCGAGGCATCTCTTCGGCTGTTCTTCTCACTCCTACGCACTGCCGCGGCCGCGAGAAAGGTCGCACCATTTATTGTTAGGCGATAGTCGGTGGTGGTGGTGTTCGTGGTAAGCGACATGTGAGTGCTCTCTTCAAGCTTTCTCTCTTTCTCTCTCCTGTCCCCAGCGTGCCCCTGAACAACTGGCGTCAGATTTTTTGTTGTTTCTTTTTCCTCTTTCATTTCAGCATTTTTTCTTCGCCATTCTCCAGCACTTGTCGCCCGACAGTTTTGTGTATCGCCAGGCAAAGCTCAAAGCTCAAAACAAAGCAAAGCAAAGTCTCGTATCTTCTCAAATCACAGCAACAGCCAGACTGGCGCACTCTTTTTTCCTAAGCAACTCCACGACTGTCAGCGGCTTAATTCGACGATTTACTATCACCACTAGTACTTGTGCCCTTCTCCAACTCTGTTTGTGTTTGTTTGTTGCTTCGATTGCCATAAGTGCCATAAGCTGCCATTGTTTCTATTTGCCGATCACTTAGCGAGCTATACTTGGCCGTATTTGTGGCTGCCACAGTGCGCTGCTGTTGCTGCTGTCGCTGCTGCACTCTCTCCATAACCATTCCATGTTTGCTGTCCTCAGTGTCGTAGCACTGCTTATGCCGACGCTGCTTTGTATTCATGGTTACCTGTCTGTCTGTCTGTAGAAAGTGTGTGTGATGTACGTGTGCGGTGATAATAACTAATTGGAGCCAAACGCTTACCACTTCTCCTCTTTCTCTTTCCCTCTTTCCCTTTCTCCCTCGCCATTCCACCTGTAGCAGCATCGCTGTCTAATGCTTGTCGTTCCACTGTCGCCCTCACTGTCTGCTGATCAGCACCCTTAACGCTGACAATCAATTGTGTTCTGTGTCCCGAATACCTCTGTGTGCCGCATCACCACAACCGCCACCTCACCATGACCTCCTTTAGGACTTCAACTAACTCCTTCTCCTCCCCCACGTCCTCCGTCCTTCCCAAAAACGGCATTTTGACGTCTCTCAACGGAGGAGGAGTAGGAGGAGGCAGTGGACCTCCTCTTCCCTCTTCGAGTGGACCCCCCTGCAAGTGCTGTCCCTACGGCTTTCACATTGACACTGACTTTGTTCGCTACTGTGACGCCCTCTTGACCGCTCTGTACGGCGCCAACCGATCCCCCAACTTCAGCTGTCGCTCCTTTGGCTCCCTCCGTCGGAAGCTCAATCTGGCCCTCTCCGCTAGTCCGGAGAATGCACTCTTCTCAGCTCACCATTTGCCCAACCATTCCATCACAACCCCCACCAAGTCCTCCTCCTTTCTTTCCTATTGTGATTTGTACCCCTCTGCCAAGGGTGGCAGCAGCTACTTTGTTACCAGCAGTAGTATTATTAGCAGCAGCAGTGCAACGACTAACGACACTGCGCGCAATCATTACTTCACCCTAAAAGAGATCCCTTTCTCTTCAGTTGCACGAAATGGCAGTGGATCGGTGCACCCATCTCCATCGGCTTATTCAGCCACGACTGCCACGACGAACCACCACTTCCACTCGAATGCCTCCATTGAGACGGACGCCTCGGTGGAGGTCGTCGAGTCGATGCTCAGCGAGGCGGTGAACAAGTTTGAGGAGGTTCTCCTCGAGTCATCAAAGTCATCCTCCTCACTGAGCAGCAGTCAAAATCTCAGCCTCAACGGCAATGTCAATGGCCTGGGCGGCAGTCGGCGGCAGTCAAACGATGACGGCGACCCTCATCAACAACATCAACAACAAAGTCAGCAACATCAGCAGCATCAGCACCCTAATCAGCAGCAGCAGCAGTGTTGCCCCAACTCACCGCCCCCCTCTCCCACCCCCTCCTCCTGTCCGTCGTCGTCTATTTCCAGATCGGTGCTCACCCAAATTAGAAGCCATCTCGCACTGAGTCTGACGCGTGTTCAGGAGCTGGAGAGCGCCGTGGCGCAAGTGCCACTGCTGAAGCAGCAGATTGCCGAGCTGCAGCGACAGCGTGACGAGCTGCAGGCGGCTACTGCTCTGAAGCTCGTGCCGGACGGTAATGGCAACTGTCGTATATCACCCGGAGTCCACCCACCCTCGACTCCTCGACTCTCCATCAGCAAGGGCGAATCGATCTCAATTGGCGGCACGGAATCATCCCCACCACCGCCGCCTAGCACACGTTCAATTGGCACTCTGACCAGCTTTGCGCCCAGCCTGCCGCCGCGAAATGCATTTGCGCAGACCGAACTCAGAGGGCGTGATCTGGTCGTCAGGGCACAGACAGTGGACAGAGCCACCTGGACTGGCCCTTTAGAAAGTAGTAGTAGTAATAGGCAACCTCGCACAGTCTCACGCAGCACCTCCACCGAAACACCACCTCACAACTGGAAAGAGGTGGTAGAATCAGTGAGCAGAGAGGATGCGGCTGTTCAGGCGTCAGAGGTGACTGAGACACTGGACAAGGCCGTCTCCACTAGCGAACTGTCCTTCCTTCAAGACCAACTGAGGCCGACGTCTCTTGATCTAATGACCAGTGAGCATCAGCAGCCATCTCACCTAGCAAACCTGAATCAGTGGATGTACCCCTCAGAGGAGCAGCACCGAAAGTCCTCTCCTCTCCAGACAAATGTCGAACTGCACATCTCCACTGCTTCACCGGTGGGCAACTCCTCCTCTTCTAGCTCTTCCAACTCCTCCAGCCAGGGCTCCATTCGCCTGTGTGAGAAGTGCAGCCAGCAGATGACCTCCAGCACTACCTCCACCACCTCAGAGAGCGGTCTCACCTGTTCGATC